CTTTTTCTTCTACGGGAAATAAAAAACTATGAGTTGATTCAGAGCAAACACATTCTTAGCTTGGTTAGGGTATCACAAGTGCTTACCGGAATGTGGATGATCGGGGTCCCAATGCACAGCATATGCACTTGCACCGTAACCTCTCTCTTCTACGGGAAGTAAAAAACTATGAGTTGATTCAGAGGAAACACATTCTTAGCTTGGCTAGGGTATCACAAGTGCTTACCTGAATGTGGATGATCGGGGTCCCAGTGCACAGCATATGCACTTGCACCATAACCTTTATCTTCTACAGGAAGTAAAAAAATATGAGTTGATTCAGAATTAACACATTCAACTTGATGAGTTACATACCACATTTTTTTTTTGCGGGGGACATACCACATGTATTTACCTAAAGATTCACCACAAGTCAGAAGGAGCAAGAAGGCAAAACAGAGAAAGCACAGCCCAGTTTGTTCCATGATTAGTCCAGGAAAAAACTGATTAGGCTCATCTTTGTAAGAAAGCTGCTGTGTTTCACATGTACATGAACAAAAGGAAGAGACGAAGATAGAGAAGTCAGTAACAAGAACTGATTAGGCTCATCTTTGTAAGAAAGCTGCTGTGTTTCACATGTACATGAACAAAAAAAAAGAGGACGCAGAAGTTCAGTGACACAAAGCTGATTGTTGTACTTTGGGGTGTTCTTGTGTTTACCAAAAAGTTATGGCGCAGTTGTAAGTTTGCTGTTTTTCCCATCTAATGGAAACCACAGATGAATGAAAAATAGGGAACAAAAAGGAAAAGAATGATGTTTATGTTTGCTTTTCAGGCGTAGACATGAAATACCCTCCCGGTGCTTTGGATCTCAATTGTCCTGCTACAAGCGATGAAGCTATCAATGGTTGAGGTGATGCCGCACAACATTGTTTTACTGGGTTATCCGCATGGCCATGTTATCCCTTACGCTGACCTCCCAGACTACCAACTCTCACTAAATCATATACGGCCCATACTTGTAGTTCAGATGCTAATAGTTTAGGAATCATGTCAACTAGTACTAGTACCTGCATCCAATTCAATTAAATTTGGGTGGCACACATGCGTGCTAACCAACTGGTTTAGAGCAGCCGGACCAAAAAATGCCAGAATTTGCAATTTGCATTTAAATTATATCAATAAAATAGCAGAGAATGGACAAATTTCATGTGAAAAGTTAAGAGCTCTGTGAAGGAGAACAAATGATAAGAACAGTATAGCTATCTGATAAAGGAAAGGACAGAGTAAGTGAGTGCTACATGCAAAAATCAGGGACTGAGCTCTGTCTGACTTATGTATTAGTAGTACTACATCCACAAAGACAAAATCTGACAGTTGTATGCTGACAATGAATCGAAAAAACAGAGTCACAACC